ATGTCCTCTCACTATATAGCTCATAGAGACGTTTCCTACTTTTATGGATGCCAGTGGTTGCCCATTCGTTGAAAGACACATTGCCTTTAACTGGTATAGTTTTAGGTGTAAAGGTAGACTTAAACTCGGTATGGTACATATTAAAAAAATCATCATACAAATTATTAGGATTTTTATTCATTAACAAAGGTAATTTTTGAGTGACTTTAGATTTGAAGGTTTCAATGCGTCTTTCAGTCTTTGGGTTGACAGTGATAAATGGTTTAGACATTGTATTTACATGATTTGTTATTGAAATTAACTGTCCGCAATGATCTGAATCAAGCAATGATATAATTTGTTTCTTAATTGGTACAATGTCAGTATAAATATTATCCAGGCAAGTGGCACTAGTGGGAGTTATCCTAGTGGGCTCCAGAAATAAGTTCGCAAGGTTAAATGAGGCAAATAAACTTACAATTTTAGTGCTTAGACTAGAATTCTCTAACAAATTTACATTAAAATCGCCACAGGTAATGATGAATTTATTTGAGCTACTGAGTTTATTTAATACTTCATCTATTACTGTTTCAAAATAGTCATACAAACCAGAAGGTGGTCTATACACACTTAAAACAATAAACCGCTCTAATTCCACACAAGCTATTTCAACAGTGCGTTCAACAGAGTAACTAACTATATCCTTGCGTTCTTTAAATTTAAGTTTGTTATTTATTAATATTAGTGAACCACCATGTATAGCGTTCTCCCTGCTGAACGAGCTACCAATCTGGTGATTACCAAAATTGAACATTAGTTGATGAGATTTCAACCAATGCTCAGTAATACACAAAATGTCAACATTATTACAATTCAAAAATAACTCTATTTCTAGTTCCTTGCTCATAAAACCTTGAATATTTTGGTGAACCAGACTGATAACACTACTGTTTGATTTGCAAGAGGTTCCCTCTATTGTCTTACTTTTTAATTTAAATTATTAGAAATGTCAATATTTATTGAATTATTATTAATAATGTCAATATTTGAAAGTTGCTCAATAGGAGCAACCTGTTTAGCCAAGTTCTTGGCTGTAATATTAAAAAAATATGATAGCGACACCGCTATTCGTCTTATATAATATTTTGAAAGATAGTACCTATCTTTAGTCATATATAAATTTTTGCCAACTAAATTGTTGGTGTCCATTACATGTATGTTGCTATTATTACATAAATTATAGATAGCAATATTTAGTTTAAATCTTAAATTGTTTTCTTCCTGTGGCAAGCTATTACTATAAGGTAATGTAAACAAAATGATCTGCTTTATTTTAAGCTCTGTAAGTGAATTATAAAATTGCAATAATTTTTTTTTATTTAAACTACCTCTATTTCCACACATAATTATGAGGGTAGAATCTTGTTTAAAACTATAATTGATAATTTTTTCCAAAATATTACTAAAAGAATATCCGGGCATACAGTGATTCATTATTGATTGTCCAGGACAAATATTTGTCAGTAAAGAACCTAAGTTCTTCCCAATCTCATCACTGAAGATTACAATGTTATTGTTGTTTGTACTGTTACAATGGCTAGGAATCAATGAACTGGCACCTTGAGGTAGGGTGGAATCACATGCCGGCATAGAACAAGCAGGCAGTACATCATCAGAATGACACTTCTCACACTGGTTTTCCTGTGACCGCACTAACTCATTCATTGCCAACATGTATTCCCTCATTTGGTTTTCAGATGCACTATATTTATTGGTCATGGTGTGCAACTTTGATGTTAAGTGGTCTAGTTCTGATTTTAAGTTTTGGGTGTCAGTGTCATATCTCCTATTCTGTTGATTTAATTTAATAGAATAAGTATTAAGTTGGTTTAGAAGCCGGAATCGTTCTTTGTTTAATTTTACATTTTTTATAAAGAACTTTTGTCTTTTAACTAGCCTGTTAGTTTTAGTTATGTATTTATTAATTTTTATGTACTTTTTTAATCTTTTATTACTACAAAAAAGTGTTTTTGTAGAATGACAAGAATTACTATCACAAGTTAAGTCAATAGTTACTGGATTCAAGTCTACATGTTGTGATTGAGAAGCACGGGCTGACACCAACTCACTGAAGAGATTGTTATTCAGACTGGCCGTGATATTAAGATTTAATGTTTCTAAATGACTAATTTGACTATTGGCCTCATGTAGCTGTTGTTCTAATAGAGCTTTGTCATGTAATGTTTGTTCATACTCATTGCTACATTGACTGAATCCATCCACAACAAATTGGAGCCTATCCCGGGTCTCAATAGCTTCGGTGTGTTGAATATGTAACCGAGCCATTTCAGATTTCAGCTTCTTATTATTATTTAAAATATCCAAGAATTCCCTCTCATTCTCATCTCTCTCCCTCAACAGTTGATCACACAACTCCTTTGATGCCTTTAATTCGCTCAAAGCCAGGTTGAGTTTAGACTCCTCTTGGCGAGCATGGGCTTTCCGAGTAAGAATCATTGTAGAAGTTAAGAGGAAGAAACAGTAAAAGAAACTTTAAGAATATGAAAATGAAAATGAAAAGGTGAAGCTAATTTAGTCAAGAAACTGCTAGATAAGTTAGGTAGATAGACAAAGGATTTGTGTCACCAACCTCAAAGAGGTTATGTTTATTAATAATTTTGAATTTTATTGGTCTAATAACTGAATTTTAGTAATTGATATCGTATTAAGCACGAATATTATCATACAAAATAAGCAATTTCGCCAAAATAATACTGTATTTTACCTGATATCGAGATGACAATGTAGCAAATCCTTAACGCCGGTAACCGTAAATTTTTCAACTTCACCAATTTCACAATAATTACTTTAATATTTTAAAAACTTATAGTTTGCACTATACAATTAATATTTCCTCAGTGTTGAGATAGATTTTAGGGCATAAAATAATAAAAAACAATAATTATTTTACAAAATAACAAGGACAACAACAAATCAGCTGTTTACCCTAGTGTTGCCACAGCAAGCCGCTATCGAACCCGAGACCCCTTGCCCGGCAGTCGGACTTGCGACCACTCGGCCAACGAGGCAGTTAGACCTTATTTTTGTGTGCATTAAAGAGAAAATGAATGTTTTATTAACTTTTCATGTTTTTCGAATGAACGCTCAAGGTCTTCCGTTCCCTTGAAATGACGATAACACGTTACTAGTTGTGCAATATTGTGATATATAATAAATAGGTAGGTTCTTATATCTAGACAAACAACATTCGTCATACTTGACGTACTGTGATGAAGAAGCAGTTTACTGTTTGCCTTTATATGTAGATATCAGTATTTCTTGTTTGTTTCTTTTACTCTATTGGGATATCCACAATGTGTGAAAGAAACCCATCCGAAAATGTCCTATATTTACTAGTGGATAGTATAAAAGTTAACTTACTTAGAGCTTGCTGATATCCTTAACTGTAGAATATAATTGACATTTGATAGTTTTTAGTATTTTTTTAAGGGGAGAAAATCATAGAATGACTGCTCCCGCCTGGATGAGGCGGGAGGGAGTGTCAGACTCTTACTGACTAAAAACCACCTCGTTCCTTCTCCTACACGTCGAGCTGCAGCCCCGGTTACCCGTTAGGTTCTCCGCGACTAGTTTTTGGTATGGAAGATTTTTGTTAAATATTCAAACTTATTCCTCTGATAAAATTCAACTTGTGTTGGAAAAATCGGCCCCTATGAAAACTATTAGTTATTATTTAACTTACCAGACATCCCACCTCTATAGATAGATCTCTCCATCAACTAGCAAAAGGTACCTATATATGAAGTTTAAATTTTTCATGAAATAAGGATACTTGAAGATTATGACCAACCATCTTTAAAATGTATAGAGGATAACAATTCACTGAACTATTACAAGTTGTTGTTGATGACGATGAAGTTAACGTACTTAATTTGTTTAAAAGTGATCGTAAAAATATTATGTGATCAATTTGAAATTAGAATTCTTATCTAACTACTGCTACTACTACTACTACTACTAGACTGCCTCGTTGGCCGAGTGGTCGCAAGTGCGACTGCCGAGCAAGCGGTCTCGGGTTCGACTCCCGGGTCGGGCAAAGTATTACTGGGTTTTTAAAAATCTCAGTAGTAGCATGGAGTCTGGAAATGTGCCCGGTATATGGCAATAGGCTCACCCCCTATTACATGGGACTCATAACATAAATAGTAAAAAGTGGGTGTTACATTGTACAGTGGCCCACCCCTTCGGGGATAAAAGGTGTGATGTTATGTAATTCTTATCTAACCAAAAAACCAAAAGTTGTTATTGTGTTGTAAATAACTACAGCAAAACGGAAATATCATAGGGAAAACATATTTTTACCACTAACTACATATACACAGGGTATTCCCAAGTCCACGATTAGATACGGTAAATACATCGTGATTTAATAATAAACGTTTTCTGTATCATTGCCCCATAGTTACCAAACTGTAGTCGGTGGTAATTGTTACGTAGTTTCCACGTCACTGTTGAACGTGACCTACAATCATGACGGATCATGTGTAGTCTATTAACTTGTACTGTTTTGTACACACCTTCGATAGCCAGTGTAAATAGTGACGTCATTAACACAGCTGGTATTCTCGAAATTTCTAATGACGCAGTCAGGACAATTACGATTTAGGAACTAAGAACTATTTTATTGTGTGCATTCATACATGGCTCTTAGGCTAAGTCTAAAAAAAACGCTTATAATGGAGTTTATGTCATTCAACGATCGTCAAGCAGAGCCCACGCTGTAATTTACAACCCGTAATAATGATACGATTAGAACAAACTTAGGATCTTTATATTTTGTTTCATGTAAGAACTTAATGTTCACACTCCTCAGAAGTAGCAACACCTAATGGAACTTCCAAAACTTTCTGCTACTAAGTAGCATGTTTAATACCCTCTGAGAAATACACGATGCAGGCGCCATCTATTTCATAATCACAGCTTAAAATAAAATTTGACAGGCTTTATGCAGACGGGGCCTAGGCGCACTCTCTGGTCCAAAAATTTATCCTCGCCTAGACGCTTATTACAACCCCAACAAGCAGCAATGGAGTCATATTATTAGAAGAATTTTTTAGAGTAAGTTTGTGATAATGTAATTGTATGGAAAGGATCTTGAAATTTTTAGGGCAGGTTTATGAAAATACAAGGTTATGTGAGGATAACAAATATTGTGTCGGTCTAGAGCTAGTGTAAGTCTTAGAATTAAATATACCAAAATATCCCCAGAAGACTGGCAATGTATAATTTTCGAAGCAATAAACAACTCTCTGGTCATGTGAAGAAATTGTAACTTAATTGTTAAACGTTTTGTTACTCACTAGATGGCGCTAACAGCAATCGAGGTTTATTTGTCTAATAGAGAATTATCTGGTGACAAATCATCGAGCATTATTGACAACCACTATAATTTCACTAACATATCCCAACCAATGTTAACGCCATCTAGCGAAAGCATCTAGCTAAAATACTTAAACCAACCCTCATTGAATAACTTGAGTTGTTAGTTTCTGTTTTGTAAAACATGTATTGTAATATTTCCAGTTGAAGCCACGTTGGTCCGCAAGCGCACGGCGTCGAACTCCATCAGCATATTCTCGGGCAGGTAGTCGGTCGGCCGCGCAGCTTGCAACCCCTACCACTTCTGAAGTAAGTCAGATGTACTACGTCATCGCCCGCTTTACACGCTGCGTTACGATACGTCATACCGACTGCAAATAATTATTATTAAATTATTATTAAAAAACCTCTAGACTTATTTTAATAATTAGGACTTATTTTACGACGACTCTTGTAAATACAATTATTTTTGATTAAATGATTTTAATCGGTTTATCCATTATTTAATTACGTAATGCTGCGTTTAATTTTATCACTTAGGACTCGATCGGTGTAATCTAAAATGTATACAATTATGTTTTAATTTATTGTATTTAATGCAATGATGGATTTGAATCGATAATTTAAGGCATATTAATTTATACATAATTAATAATTTATGTTAATTTTGTAAGGTTAATAAAGTGTGTTTCTTCATTTGTGTCAGTTCTTTTATATCATGGCGGTACGCACAAAATATCAATGTAATAACCGATAAAATAGTTTGTATAACTTGTAGCTTGTAATATAATTAAATATATCAATACATTTGTAATTCACTTTAGTGTAACGTTGAAAATCACAACAAAGCTCTCTTAATCATGGTAAAAGACATTCTACAGGGACTTTCTATATGGTGTATAAGTGTAAACAAGTACTGGAATGGAATACCACAATAAACTTGATTCTGAAACTACAATAAATCGTCCATAGCAAAAAAAAAATAGGAGTCTGTTAACAAAAGATTATCATAAAGCCAGGCAATATCAATGAAGAGAAAATAAAGTACTTTTCTGTTACAAATTATGAAATTAGCAAAAAAAGACTTAATACGACACCAGCGCCATTATTTTCTGACGGAACTTGGAAGTACTATCCTTAACAATAGCAAAAACACAATAATTGTTTTCTTGTGGTATTCCCATCACATTGACTTTATAAGGAACGTATATATGACTTGCATCGTATATCGCATTTATTTATAAGTTTATATATAATTGGTACTTTATGTACTTGGTATAAACGTCGTTATAACAGGCGTGGATAATGGATAATGTATGGTATGCTGTACGCGACACAAGCGATGAGTATGGACACTGTATGTTGAAAGTACTGTAAAGACTGCCGTGTTCTCAAACAAACCTTTACATTTGTATTGTAACTTTCGTGAGACATAAGTACTAAATAAATTATTATGTTATCGGCTTACTCACGTAGTAATTTGACGAGGAACTCGACTAGTTTCAAGCCAAATGCTGCTTATGAATATGAGCCTCTAGCATCGCTTGAAACTAGTCGAGTACTACTTGAGTAAACCTTTACATATTTTTTTTTTATTTTTAAAACCTCCGAGTATTCTATGGTAATTCAACGACCATGCCACATATAAAGAGTTAGTAGATATTTTAAAAACTAAAGATAAACTACGTTTCAGGAAAAATGTATTGTACATGATTCTTTGCGAAATTAACAGTAAATATAGTTTTTTCTTTTACTTTTGTATGGATTTCCGCAAAGTAACGTCTGATTCTATTCTATACTGATGATAGACATCGAAGTATAGAATATGAACTAAGTATCTATTTTACATTATGTATGGTACTTTCCCTCCATGTGGCATTGTTTTGGACACCCTGCATATGCATTGTAAAATTATAACTTTTTTGAAACGTAATTTATGGTTCTAGTGTTGCCAGTTGCCAATACGGTTGTTTGAGTACACAGTAGTTAGACTCGAAGCATAGTTTTTACGTAATTGTGAATGGAGATCACAATAAATTGGTAATATGACTGAATTTACAAAATAAGTCTTCTAATAAATGTTAAATACGATTGTTGTGATCTCAGAATTTTTTTTACTAAGAGATGTGCTTTTGGTATATCGAAAACGTAAGTTTAAAAACTATGCTTTGAGCCAACAAAAATATTATTGTTCTATTGATAGACAGACGATGATATTTTATTTCTTAAGACTATATATTAATTTCTCTACAAGTTGTGCAGTTTGTAAACGATTTGCTCAATATAGACGTTAATTGCGCTAAAAGTTGTAGAAAAATCTCCACTGTATTTTCTTAAGCATAGAATTGATTTTCGAAGCTCATTTTTTGAATAGCAATGTACAGAATACAGAGACATCCATCAAAACGAGTTGTGTCGCGAAATTCTATGTAATATTTTATTATTAATGTTCATGTACTGGGTGACAGTAATATGAACCTTATTGTGTACTATTTAAATATATAAATGTATTAATCAAATAGCGATAAACATGCAACAATATTATAGTGTATGCAACTAGCAATGCAATAACTTGAGAAAGTGTAGCGTAGGCTTAACAAATACTCTGATGTATGTTCTTATATATATTTTTCTATAATGGTAGTCTCAGGTTGGATAGGCTTTGAGCGGAGTTGTGAATGTGTTAGTGAAGTTTGTACGTGTGTGAAGTGAATGGTATAATTACCAACGTAAGCAATGCTGTTTTAAAAACATAACATTATTTGCAGGAAAAATACCGGTTGTGTTATGGAATGATCATGTGTCTGTTCATGAGAAGCATTCGTAGTTATAATCGTATTTTTTATGTTTAATGTCTTACGGGTTTGCCCGACTCGTTTCGAACTAAACGGGGATTCATAATTTGAAAGTAAACGGAGCACGTAAGATTGCAATAAGTTGATCGTTTCATAATGAGACTAGTTAATTTCGACGTAAATGTAGGTGTGGACATATCTCAATAGAAGAATTAGAAAATGCAGCCGCTTATACGAAGGATAGCGAGGTAATCGATTTTACTGATAAAATATTATTTCTAATTAGTAATGGATGGGTGTTATGAATGGGTTGTTTAGGATGCGGTGCGAAGGATTTTTACACAGATGAACAAACGTTTAGATAAATTCAAAAAGAGAATAGTTAAAAAGTCTCTAAAGCAAATTAGTTCAATGTTCTAAGAAAGCCAGTGTGCTACTCGCTTTCTAGAAAATTCTAAATTAATTTCATTGATTCTTAGAATTCATACTCATATTGTTAAGGGACCTTTTCCAAAGTCTAGCTAACTGTTTGGTAAGAGTATCTAAAATATTTAATAAAATAAATATTTTTTAAAAGAAAATTAGGCATAATGATCGAGGAATGGTAGTTCGGAATAGTCCGAACGGAGTGTTATGAGAATGGAACTTGAAAAGTTTTAGTTTATATTAGCGTGAATTGAAAGCTAGGAGGCTACCAAAAATGTGGTAGAGATAATATTTTATTGGAATGTATACTATATCTGACTATCATTACAGGCGAAAATGCTTTAGTATAGTAAGTGCGAGGAATGAATATGATTCATCTTCATGCGTGTGGCGTGCGAGTGCAGTGCGAGTGTGACTAGAGACTTAAGTTTAGGGAACTATCGGAACTGTCATGAACCCGTGTCTCACCGAATCGACACGTAAGCTAATGTCCAAAACATTAATTTAATGAGCAAATAACTTAGACTACAATACTGAATTGTATGTAATTTATACTATGTACCGTATTACAATTTTCTTATCAGGATAGCCGTAGTTTTAGTAATAATATTATTTATATATTATAGTAAATGGAAAGATTAGCGAATAATAAGCCACAAAAAGCAATTTGAATGTTTCCTAGATAATGTACAATTTTTATTTTAATATGTTTTAGCTTCGTAAGCTAATCGATGTGTTAGTGCCGCTTACCCGTGTACGTAAGTTATGATTGTTTGAACATCATTTAATATCGATTAACATGTATTGTTCGCTTTAGTTGTAAATTTAGTATAATATTATTTCAACAAATTTTACCAAAACATGCCTCGCTTAAGTTTTACATTTATTTTGTTGTAAATAAAAAACGATAATTTTGTAGTGTGCTCTGGCATAATACATACCTATGAATACTTACAAAATAAACTTTTCACCTGCTAGAATATGACTTTCTCTTAATCCTCGATACCCACATAACATAACATCACGCCTGTAGAATCCCACTGTACAGTGTAACACGGAGTAACACCCACTCTTCACTATTTATGTTATGAGTCCCATGTAAAGGTGAGCCTATTGCCATATACCGGGTACATTTCCACACTCCGTGCTATTGAGAATTTTTTAAAAGCCCAGTAGTACTTTTCCCGACCCGGAAATCGAATCTGAGACCCATTGCCCGGCAATCGCACTTGCGATCGCTCGGCCAATGCAGCAGGCAGGCCTTCAACACCCTAAATTTGAAATAAAAGCTAAATGCTCTATCTACTTTATCATGCATATAATTTTAGCTAGATTCTATCTAAATGACGCTTTGTGACCAATGAATTGGTTCATTGAAGTGAAAATTAATTTGAACAATACTGTTTGTAATATGTAGTTAATTTCTAATCCCTGCTTCAATGTCTGTGTATATTGACAAATGAAGGTGCTCTTAACATACTATTTCTCGTATAAAAACCAGTTTTTTTTTACATTTCTATAAAGTTAATATTTATTCCTTGCTTCAATGTCTGTTTATATTGATAAATGAAGGTGCTCTTAACATACTATTTCTCGTATAAAAACCAGTTTTTTACATTTCGATAAATCTATTTCCTACTTAGGTATCTATAAAAAAGAAAGAAAAATCATGAAGCGGTTTCCGCATTATTTATTCTGGCGGCAACTATTTTCGTGTTTGTTTTGTCAGGTTCGAAGCGATGTCGCTCCTCGACGCGAGTTGACGCGACGCGACGTCTACTTAGTTAAGTATCGAGTTACCACTTTACCTCAGATGACTAACGAACACATTCCGGAATAGAACAGTTCGTGTTACTTCGGGAGTTCCGATTCATTGATGTTTGAAAGGCATGTTACCCCTACTAAGTAAATATTTCCTGAATACAATTAGAAAGACTAACACCTACTTCATTTTTTAAACGGTTAAGCCGGTAAACTAGCATTCGTATCACCTGATGGTAAGCAAGTAAGCAATCACACACCATCGAAATGAACACCCGGTAATTGGGCCTCCGGTAACATTACTCACACGACGAATCACAAGCAAGCGTCGTTTCACGTCGGTTTTCTGTGAGCCGGCCCATCCGTGCCGAAGCATGGCTCTCCTCACTTAAAACATACACATTACGACACTAGTCTTCTCATTTTTATACAGATTCCCACATGGTTGTTGACGACCATATAAACCATTTTATGGTGTTTTCCTAGACACTGCAATTGAATTATTATTATTAAGGTTATTAACAACGGTAATTTAGAGAAATGTGGTTCTAAGTGCTCTAACCGTTTATTATGTTGTTACGATATCTACTCACCTTCGTATCTACTCTTCAAAGTTAGTAGATATTTAAATATTTCGCAAGACGTAAGCAGATACGTCTGTGATACATTATCCCTTAAAATGCGCTTTGAAGTTTGCAGTGTGTTAAATCTTAATTTAACATCATTAATTAATTTTACGATTTCCAACGTCTCTTATTTAACGCTTCATTTTATTATTAAGTTGACAAATTACATCATGACTTCAAGGTTTCAAATGTATTAAAATGACAAAATACTAAATATATGAATAAGTAGGTAGGTACGTCACTTGCTTAAACGTGGTGACTACTTACTGTTTGATATATGGGTAAATAAATACATAGGTAGGTATACCTATAGGCTACCCACGTGTGCTGAAAATACTCTAAAACAATGTTCAGTCAAATAGCAATTTATGGCACTTTAATACCTACTTATACCTAGAGTTCTTTAAACTGTCAAACACCGTGAGGACACCGGTGACCGCAACCTATTGTTCTTTAATTGTGTCTATAATGACGGTACTCAACGAGTTCAAATAAGACAAAATATTCGATCGTAGATAATCTTTATTAAATATATTTAATTTAAAATATTAATAAGAGGAACCGATTAAATATCTCATCGTTCTTCGTAAAATCACTGTTATTGGTTGCTTTATATTCTTTGATACTTGAAAGTCTTTAGTCTATAGTGACGTAACTATAAATGTATGGAAATATGTATGGTCATGGGCATACACAACTAAAGAGAGCTCTGCCTCAAAAAAAAAGGTCACAGTCATGGGCGACAACAAACGGGTTATAATCAAAAGGGGCTAATGAATTAGGTCAAGGGGGCCTAAATATCTTGCAAGGACCCCAATAGGTAATACACCACAATACTCTCAATTCATCATGGTATCAGACGCGTAAGAATTCCTCATATCATTTCTCATTTCATAATAATTATCTTTATAACCGTAGTTACAATATTGCATATTTGCTGTGCATGACTCGTTCGTGTTCATTTCTTCATAGCAACGTTCTTCATAATCATTTTCGGGGTATTCTTGGTAACCGTCGCAGTGTGTATGACTGTCTTGGGCGTTCTCTCTTGGAGGCTGGACATTTCTGCTTGAAGAGTCGTTGTTTGGAGGGTTAATATTCCATCGTTGTGATATGGCGCAGCTCAGGGTTCCACCGTGTTGGAAGGCGAAAGGCCAGGCCTGGAAAAAAAGTTGAAAGTTAGCGTAAATCAAATCGTCAGACAATGTGTAATTCTTGTATATTAATTAATGATTACTTTTCTTGGGGGGTCATCATTTGTCTTTATCTTCACGTTTAGGAATCACAGTTAGGTCACTGAAAAGTTAGAGGATATTGGATGGATGAGGATGTTTGATGGGTCATCTCCCGACCGTTATGTAGTCGCAGTTTAAAAAATATTCATGGTGGACTGACGTAAAAGGTAAATCAATTTTATAATTTATATCTGTGAGGTATCCTTACAATAAAGGAACCATTAAGTACCTAATTCTAATTGCTTTTTTAAAACTAATCAAAAGCATCGAAAACTTAGAATAACGAACGAAACATGTGTAAGAGACCACCCAATTAGCTGAATATCATATGAATGTTGATCCGTTTATTGCGACATCATAACTTGACCGCACTTTTTATGTTCAAACAAACATCGTCGGGTTTTTGACGAACAAACATATGTTGAACCAACAATATGTGGGACAGAGTTATTAGGAGTAAACATTAGAGAAAAATAACGGCACTAAAATAATGTAGCTAATAACGGTAATAAAATAAACAAGTTATAAAGGCCTGAAGTTCTTAGGTACTAAAATCAAAAAGGGATATCTAGATACATTGTTAGATCAAATTCAATGACTTCAATGGATTCAATTCAATTTGTTAAAACTTGAGCACTAAACTACGAAAGTACTATAGAATAATAAAAACGACACCCAGGGGCGTAGCTAGTGCCGTATCTGCTGTATCAATTATACGGGGCCCCCGCACTACGGACCCCGGGGGCCCCCAACACGTGCGTAAGCTGAAATTAATAAAAATTTCCCAATGTTTGATTTTATTTTGGTAATATAAAAAAGCGACTTCAAAAAACCAAAAACTATTATTAGTATTGATAGGTTACCCACCCACTGATTGGGACTCATATCATTAATTAACATAAAATTTATATCGTTTTTAATCAAAAAAGAAAATTATTAAACTGTAATTGAACGTAAAATATTATTACGAAAATAAGTGTAGGAATTCAATTAAAGTTCTTCTATTTTTTATTATCATAAATTCGCGACTGACTGTTGCGTAACATGTTGCACTACTTGCACACTTGCACTTACGATTTCCTTACTGAGTAAAAGGAATAAAAATAATTAACTATTATCTATACAGATAAATAAAATTGGAGTGTACAGGGCCGCCGCTAGCTATTCGAGCGCCCGCGTGCAAATACCGATTATGCTGCCCCCTTTTTGTTGGGTGGGTAAAAAGTCATCAAATGACTCTTGAGGAAGTGACTCTTACAACTCTTACTAACTAAAAACGACCCCATTCCTTCCAACACTTGCTCAAAGCCAGGGCCTCAGTACCTGTATGCTACATATCCTCCAACAAGGCAACAATCCTGGTGGGCCTCGTCTATGGTCTGATGGCACTTTGAATCCCGCCTCTTACGCGACGCGCCGTACGCTCTGGTCTGGTACTTGTCACCTGACTTCTGACCTGACGGCAGGCTGTCCGCAGACTCGCGCTTACGGCGGCCGGCGATACTACGATGCTACTTCGAGGATGCTCGAAAGTGTTCGGGACGCCCGAAAGTATTCGAGGACGCACGAAAGTGTACGAGGACGTTCAATTGATTTCGAGGAGGCTCGATAGTTTTCGAAGACGCCCGAAAGTGTTCGAGGAAGCTCGAAATGGTACGACGACGCTCAATTGATTTCGAGGACGCTCGATAGTTTACGAGGACGCTCGAAAGTGTTCGAAGGCGCTCGAAACTGCACGAGGACGCTCGATAGTTCTCGAGGATGCTCGCAAAGTGTTCGAGGACGCTCGATAGTTTTCGAGGACGCTCGAAATGGTACGAGGACGCTCGATTGTTTTCGAGGACGCTCGAAAGTGTACGAGGACGCTCGATTGTTTTCGAGGATGCTCGAAAGTGT